TTGGTTTCACTTAAAAGCGTCGAAATGAGAAAAGGGATGAAGGAACTCGACGAGTTGGTTAGGGTTTTCCCGATCTTCTGGACACTGAAGAACTCGACGAGTTACTCAGGTAACTCGGTGAGTTGACTCGAGTTTTCGGTTTCTGAGTTCTGAAGTAACTCGACGAGTCTGTAAGCTGCACTCGACGAGTTGGGTCAACATGGACTGTTGACCTTGACTTTGACCAAGGGTTGGCCAAGTTTGACTTCTGAGGATACTTTGGTAATTTGGGTCTTGATAGAATTGGTCCTATGATGATTGTAGGTGGTTGAGTTTGGAGCGGTGTTTGGGAGTTTGCCATTATCATCCAGTGCTACTTGTGAGGTGAGTTTTCCTCAATATAATCAAGGGTCGAAGGCACCAAGGCCAGCCCTTTGGATAGTTATCCTGCTTTGTTATTAGTGCGATATGTTAGATCGGTATCCTGGTAGATAGGATGTTCCTATGTGATTATGATCGGTTAGATCGGTATCTTGGTAGATAGGATGTTGCTATGCTTAGTGATCTGTAGATCGTTTTGACTGTCTGTAGACTATTATGTGATTATCTGTTATATGTGCACATGATTGATTGGTGGTTGAGGCTTATCTGCTTTGTGTGAGAGCCGACAGACGGAGCATTCCAACCCGATGGTTGTGGGCCAAGAGTATTATATCCCGATGATGATTGAACTCAGAGTATGTGGGCAATCTAACCCCGATAGTTGTGGGCCGAGGGTATACCATCCCGAGGATGATTAGACCCATAGTATGTTGTCATTGCAACCCGATGGTTGAGGGCCTGGGGCATTCCAACCTGATGGTTGATTGGGCCCATAGTATGCTGTTATTATATGTGTGTTATTTGTTGTGCGGGTATTTTGGGGGAACTCACTAAGCTTCGAGCTTACAGTTTTGGATTTTGTTTCAGGTACTTCAGATGATCGCGGGAAGATGAAGGCTTGATCGTGCACCTACTCACGTTTTATGATTTGATTTCTGGGATACTCTGATATGAAACTATTTTGAAAACATTTTGTAATAAATAATGGTTTTTGGATGCTTGAAAAAGTTTTAAATTTTCATGAATTTTATGGATGTTACAATGCATGTTGTTATATGTTGTGTGGTGGTACTTTGGGGGAACTCACTAAGCTTTGGCTTACATTTTCAATTTTATGTTTTAGGTACTTCGGATGACCGTGGGAAAGCGAATGCATGATCGTGCACATCCTCTTGGTTTTGATGATTTTGATTTAGGACACTCTGATATATGATTTCTATGTTTGAGAACAATGTTTTGTAAACGTTTGGCTGATTTGGGATTTTGTTTGAAAACAATGATTCCACTTTACTTAAAAATGAAAATTTTTACCTAGATTATTGGGATGTTACAACAAGAATCCTGAAACATAACCTTTCCCATTTTACCCCTCAGCTTCCATTAAACAATCCAAGGTTTAAATCATTTTTCCAACATCATACACCTCCAATAGAGTCTAAAATTCATTCCATTGAAGCCCAAGGCCTCCGTTTGATCATTTATTGTCCACAATTCTGAAATAAGAACTTCTCGAAACAGGATGTTACAATTTCACTAAACAAATTTTTAATGATCAAAAGTGTTGAAATAGTAAGTCCGATTTACATTGTGAATGCCAAAAACATATTATATGCAGATCAGATTCACAGTGTGAATTTGATTCATAATGTGAATCTGACCTGGAAAGTGAAAAAACAAATATTTTTTTTTACATCGATATGAATGTCTATTTAAAGAGAACCAAAAATTATGAATTTTGATATATTTATTTTTTCGATAAAAAATAAATGTAGATATTAAAAAAGTAACAAAATGAAGTGATTTTTTTTTCCAAAAAAAAAAATCATTTTTAATATATCAATATGGATGTCTATGGAGAGATGATAAAAAATTATGAATTTTGATATATTCGATTATTTTTGATAAAAAATAAATCATAAAAGAACAAAAAATTGTGGGTTTTTTGTTATGATCCACTGCATGTTCGTCTAGCCTTTAAATGTACAACCCCCTTTTTTAGACTCTTAATCAATTGTTCTCTAAGGACCAAAAATGGTTCTTTGGTTCCATTATTTAAAATGGTTTCTCATTTAACCCTTATATATATATATATATATAATATATATATATATATATATATATATATATATATATATATATATGCTTTAATAAATAAAAAATATTTTTGTCGCTTGTCATTCTTTCACTCATTATGTTACATGTCATTTTGTGGTTTTTTTTCCATTTTATTAAATTTCATATAATAATTAAATGTAACAAATGTAATAGTTATAAATGCATATCAAATTCATTAATGTAATTTTCTTTATAATTTCTAAATTTCTAAATTTAATCTAATTATTTTAATTGTTATTTATTTAAATTATTAATTTTGTTTGAATTTAAAGACAAAACTGCAAAAATGGTCCCTGTGGTATGCATTTTTTTGGGGTTTTAGTCCAAACCACGACTTTTTTGGATTGGTGGTCCTTTTGAGCTAGTTTCTTTGCGTTTTTGGTCCCTCAGTAAACTGAAAAGACCTTCATGTTCCAGGGTTTGAGTTGTGCACCTTATTTGTTTTTTATTTAATTTATAAATAATAACAATAATAATAAATTAACTAAAAATAAATGCATAATGGGTAAAAAAAATACGAAACAAGTTACCACAAAGCACAGGGACCATCTGTGTAATTTACTCAAAATTTTATATATCCGGAAACCCAAATATCAAAAATTATGATTCAGATATTTTTGAACACCCTTAATGATATCTGACAATATTGGATTTATTTGTTTATAATTTTTCCATTTAGACAAGTTCATTAGTCATTAGCGATCAGCTTGAGACTGAGACTTGTCGAGATTAATAGTTCAATGCATTTAACAACCTTGCCTGGGCCAATTGGAGATTGGCGGTCTATAACCGGTCGGTGTAGTCCCTAGGCAATTTTTAAGATCGGTCCTGATGTGTGGTTGTCATCTTCCTCCCAACTGACCCTAAAAGGAATTGGGCTTAGCCCGAGCATAAGGCCGGGCGGAATGCAAGCACGAAAGGGGAGCGGGACTCTTCCCGCACGACGGAACACCGGACCGTCGGTGCGAGGAAGGGTGGTGTGGGAATGGGTGAGGGAACCCTTTGCCACGTTCTCTCTCCGTCGTTTATTGGTGGATTTTTTTTACAAACGGCTATATGCATTAAAATTCATTTTTTTTTTGTTTTTGTTTTTTTACCCTTTAAAACATCTATAAATACTCAACTATTTACCTTCAATCAACATTCAAACAAACCCTCTACAACCTCTATTTTCTTCAAAAAAAATGAATCCCGACAATCAAACCCCAACCTCCGATCGAAGGAAAAAAACTCATGTTTCGAGTTTAAGCACCCCTACTCGAAACATTTTTGCTATCGATTCATCATCAAAAGGAGTTTATCGTTCCCAAATCGATGCTCCCATTCAATCTCCACTACAATTTCAATACCAAAATGTTAGACAATATTACCCGGTCCAAGTTCCAAATGTTACTCCGCAAATGTTTTCAAACTTTGTTGTTTTTCCCGATCAACATTCACCAAATCAACCTCAAATTCAAACCCAACCCCAAACCCAAACCCAAACTCAAACTCAAACTCAAACTCAAACCTAACAAGTAACAACAATTCCAACTTGTTGATGAGTTGGATGACTCGGAAGAAGAAGAGATGGTTCCCGAAACTCAACCCACACCATCCCTACAACGACGTAAAGGGAAAAAACAAGCGCACGAGGGTGTCACACAACCGGGAAGACAAAAGCCGGCAACATGACTTCCACAAGAAGAGCTAGTTTTGGTAAAACTTGGGTTGACATTTCTGAGGATTCGATTCATGGAAATGCACAACCGGGAGAACATTTTTGGTTTCACATTTTAGAACGGTTTCGGGAGGAGCTAGAAAAAGGTGACGACTACCGTACGAAACAACAACTGAATTCGAAGTTTCGAGAAATAGCAAAGGGGGTTTCAAAAATAAACGGGTTGTACAACAACCTAAAAACCCAACGAAAAAGCGGCCAAGGAGACGAAGAAATACTTCAAGAAGCTTTGCAATTTTACCTTGAGGAAGTCGGAAAACCATTCAAGTAGCACGATTGTTGGAAATTATTGGTTAGATCTCCTAGGTGGAAAAAATACGAGCAAAATTTTATTTTTGAAGTACAACAATCAAAACAAACGAAAACGGGCTCTAGTGGTTACACAACTTTCTCCGATGCTCAGGTCGGTCTAGATATAAATCAGGAAATAAACTCGAGCTAAAAAAAATTGTCCGACCGATGGGTAGGGACAAAGCAAAGAGGAAGGGAAAAGGGACTTCTCCGAACATTTGGCGTTCGACAAAGAAAAAAGAAAAAGCAAGGAAGAAGGAGCGGGCGGAGAGACAAGAAATGGAGGATATGAAGTTCTTGATGGAAAACACCGACCATCTCTCGGGACCGGTTCTCGAGCTCGTGATGAAGAAGAGGGAAAAAACTATGAAAAAAATATTTTTCATAGGTTGTTGTTGGTTTGTTTGATTTTTTGTTTGTGTTTTTTTTAATTTTAGGTTTATTGTAATTTTTATTTTAATTAATGAAATGCATTTTCTTTTTAATTAAAATTTTTGGTTGTTTTTAATTTAAAAATTATAAATCATAAAAATCAATTAATTTTATTTAAAAAAACAAAATAGTGAGGGAAGCTTCCCACCCATTCTTTGAGTTTTAGGTGAGGGAAAGAAAAGTAAGGAAAATGGTGGTATGACACACAAAAAATGAAAGAAACTTCCCACTAATACCCTCCGGACTAATAAAAAATCTGAAAATAAGGTCCAAGAGCAATATGTGTTCGCCTGGTGCACTGACCCAAAAACATGGGTTTAATTGACCCGATGACTCGGATGACACCTTGTTAAATTATGAGATTAGCTTCTTTTCACCAGAGAACCGAGCGTAAAAGCCCTAGGGCTAGTAGCACTGGTAATATGCCTGCTATATATAGTCTACCCATCTATCGAAGTCGGTCTGTTATGATATAAACCAAGGATCAATCGAAACGGATTAATCACTTCGTCTCCCCAAATTCTACATACCAATCAACCCTGATTAGATTAATAAAAGGAAAACCAATTTAAACATGTCAAATATATCATCATCCTCATCACCGGTAGCTATGAAAGACGTGGTACACAAGCTACAACTATGTCTGTTAGAAGGTATCAAATCTGAAACCCAGTTATTCGTAGCTGGATCTTTGCTCTCCAAGTCGGATTATCACGACGTTGTGACCGAAAGATCAATTGCTCAAATGTGTGGTTACCCGCTTTGCCCCAACTCATTACCCTCTCCGGGAGAAGCTGCAGTTAAGGGCAGATATCATATTTCTCTGAAAGAGCACAAGGTTTACGACCTTTTAGAAATGCGTATGTACTGTTCGACAAAATGCGTAGTTGACAGCCGGGCATATGCTGAAAGTTTGCAGGATGAACGGTCCTTGGTTATTGATACAGCGAAAATCAATAAGGTGGTGAGGCTGTTTGACGGTTTGAGTGTGAAGGCTGAAGAGGGTTTGGGGGACAGTGGTGATTTTGGATTGCGTAACTTGTCAATTAAGGAGAAGGAAGATGGAGCTGTTGGTGGCGGAATCGTGTCTTTGGAGGAATGGATTGGCCCTTCAAATGCAATCGAGGGTTATATTCCACAACATGAACGCAGTTCAAAAAATAAACCGGGTATGAGATGAATTGTTTTAGTTGATTGCTGATCATGTTTTTTTTTTCTTTATCATAAAGTTAGCAATTTATATGCGATTGGAATAGCTGTAGGCCTGTACCTACCTTCGTGACTAATAAGGTATGAAGTAGTATGATTGAAGTAATTTCTCTATATTCATTCAGTGTGGTATACATGAGTTTATATACAGAAGTAGAGAGCCCTAACTCCACATAAACAGGAGATTCAAAATACGTGAGAATAATAGCCTAAAGAATAGGACTAAATGACTAAGTTACAAGACCAATTCAAAACTAATATAATTCTTTATGATGCTGAATATTTCTGTTATTACCCCCCCGCAAGCTCAAGAGGAGGACGCACTTGAAGCTTGTGTCTGAGTTCAGTGACTCGATTCTTTCCTAGAGGCTTTGTAAAGATGTCAGCCCATTGATCAACAGAGGAAACTTGACAGATTTGAAGAGCACCTACATCTACTTGTTCTCTTACAAAGTGGAAATCAAGAGCTATGTGTTTAGATCGTGTACTAATAACTGGATTTTTGCATAAAAAAGTTGCTCCAACATTGTCACAAAGAAGGATAGGCGGTTTGGGGAGTTCAACATGAAGATCACGAAGAAGTTGTTGAATCCATAATAACTCGACTGTTGTGTAGGCTAGGGCCCGATATTCCGCCTCGGTGCTGGACCGTGCCACCACTTTTTGTTTCCTAGATGCCCAACTGATCAAGTTTGGGCCATGAAAAATGGCAAAACCATATTGGGACCGACTATCATCTTTGTCGGACATCCAACCTGAGTCCGAGTATGCTAAAAGAGAAGTAGCAGCATGAGACCTAAAGTGAAGACAATGATGTAAGGTGCCATTAAGGTACCTTAAGATGCGTTTTACTGCTTGCCAGTGAAGGGTGGTGGGAGCATGCATGAATTGGCATACGCGGTTGACTGCATAAGCAATATCGGGTCGTGTAATTGTCACATATTGCAAGACCCAACTGTTTGTCTATACAAGGTTGGATCAGTGAATGGGTCACCAGCTTTAACTAATGGAATTGACAGATCTGCTGGTGTGGACACGGGTTTGGAGTCAATCGTTTTATTTCTTGTGAGGATGTCATGAATGTACTGGTGTTGTGATAATTGAAGACCTGTGGCTGTCTTGGAAATTTCAACACCTAGAAAGTAACTGATCGTCCCCAAGTCTTTAAGTGCAAAAGTGTTGTGCAGCTCATTGATGACATTTTGAACCAGCCTTGGATTAGTTCCTGTAATAAGTAAGTCATCAACATAGACTAAGATATAAATGGTGGCAGCAGGAGAGTAATGAACGAAGAGGGAAGTATCCGAGTGACACGCACGGAACCCATGAGTGACAAGATGCCGTTTGAGTTGATTGAACCAGGCTCTTGGAGCCTGTTTCAACCCATAGAGTGCTTTGTTGAGTTTACAAACAGCAGTGGGACGAGCCGGATCTTCAAATCCTTTAGGTTGATCCATGTAGATTTCCTCCGATAGTATACCATTTAAAAATGCATTGTGGATATCGAGTTGTCGAATCGTCCACCCTTGGGAGAGAGCAATAGAGATGACCAGGCGGATAGTTGTCGGTTTAATGACGGGACTGAATGTTTCAAAGAAGTCTAACTCCTTCTTCTTGAGTGAACCCTTTAGCAACGAGACGGGCTTTATACCGTTCAATTGAGCCATCCGAATGTCTTTTAATTCTGAAAATCCACTTGCAACCAACAATGTTAGCATTAGAGGGACGGGAGACAAGTGTCCATGTCTTATTTCTCATTAAAGCATCAAATTCATGTTTCATTGCATTGAACCAATGGGGGTTCTTAAGGGCTTGAGGAACAGTACGTGGTTCTGAGGTGGGTGGAGATGTAGTGGTGAGTGAGAGAGCTTTAGGACGTAGGGAGTTGGTTTGAGCCCTAGTAACCATTTTGTGTTGAGTATTTGGAGCGGGTCGGAGAAAACTGAGTGGGTTTTGTTTTGCCCGTGAGCTAATTGTTGGGCGTTGATGTGATGGACAGGAGGGCGGGGATGGAACTGTAGTAGTGTTGCTGGAGGAAGAAGTAGATGATGGTGAGTGGGCAACAGGTGAAGGTGTTGGTAGATCTGGAGTATTTAGGCAATTTGCATGATCAAGAATACCTGTTGAGATAGGCGTTTGAGGCATGTGGGGAAGAGATGTTGAGAGGTTGGGTTTAGGATTAGTGGAGAAAGGGAAAACATCCTCGTTGAAGACCACATGACGAGAAATATATATACGTGAGGTGGGTCGATGAAGACAGAGATATCCCTTGTGAGAGGCACTGTAGCCTAAGAAGACACAGGGAAGAGATCTAAAATCCATCTTGTGGGAGCTATAAGGGCGTAAGAAAGGGTAGCATAGGCAACCAAATGTTCGCATGAAAACATAGTCTGGAGATTTGTTGTAAAGGGTAGAGTATGGGGATTGATATCGTAGGGTAGGGGTGATGGTATGATTGTGAATATATGTGGCTGTTTTGAAAGCGTGTTCCCAGTACTCATGAGGTAAAGACGAGTGTGCAAGGAGTGATAAACCTTTTTCAACAATAATACGATTCCGGCGTTCTACCGCGCCGTTCTGTTCAGAAGTGTAAGGGCACGAGATGCGATGGTGAATGCCATTGTTTTTGAGGTAGGTGGAGAGGGTGCGATATTCTCCACCCCAATCTGATTGAAAAGATTTCATGTCACTGTTAAACTGAGTTTTTATCATGGTGCGAAAATTGATGAATGTGGGAAGCACCTGAGATTTGTTAGATAGGAAGTAAATCCACACAAATTTGGAAAAATCATCAATGAATAATACGAAATAACGACTTCCATTTATTGATAACATAGGGGATGGACCCCAAACATCCGAATACATAAGTTCAAAAGGTTGAGAGCATGAAATATGACTAGAAGAAAGATTAAATCTGTGACTTTTGCCTAATTGGCATGGTTCACAAACAGGTGAAAGTTTATTAGAAGAAACTGGAAGTTGAAAAGTGGAGATCAGGCGTCGAAGTATGGCTTCATGTGGGTGAGCAAGACGATTATGCCAGCCTGATAAGGAGGTGCGAACAGTAGAGAGAGTCATAGTAGATGTTGAGTTATTGGATGGAAGGTCGAAGCGATAGAGGCCATGATCAATGTGACCTTGAAGAATTGGCTTGCCCTGCAATGTCTTGACAATGCAACGATTAGGCCAGAATTCCATAAACACATTGTTGTCTTTTGTAAGCTGTGAAACACTTAACAGATTTTTAGTAAGACGTGGGACAACAAGAACTGTAGGTAAATGCAATGAAGACAAAGAAGAGGAGCCAAAATGAGTAATAAGTAAATTTGTACCATTGCCAACTTGTAGCTTATCCTCTCCAGTGTAGGGTTCATTGATGTGGAGTTTATTCAAATTGGGGGTGACATGATCTGTCGCCCCTGTATCAAAGTACCATGAAGGGTCCATAATAGTGGAGGGACTGTGTAAATTGGCAACATTAACCTGACGAGGCTGGGCACGGTGAGGAGGCCGGCGAGAAGGGTAGTCAATTTTGTTTCCCCGTTGCCAACAGTTGATCGCCTCATGGCCTGGTTTATTGCAGAGTTGACAGTGGAGACGACTGCGTCGGTTATCTGGACCACCACGAGAATTAGAGTGGCTTCCCTGAGAAGGCTGAGAGTAGCGGTTGGTGGAGGGAGTACGTGAAGCTTGATTTGCTACAGGGAAGGGAGAGAGCTGTTGAGAGGTGGTGGATGTAGGTACTTGAGTGAGAGCCTGGCGAGTGAGTTCTTGCTCAAGTCTTGCCTCTTCTTGAAGAAGAAGACCAACGAGGTCATCAACAGTGGTGAAGTCAGCTTGCATAAGGAAAGCAGAGGTGAAGGAGCTGTACGAAGAATCCAATTCGTTGAGAATGCAACCCATTAAGTTTTCGTCAGTCACTGGGGTGAGATTTTCAGCCAAACAATCGGCAATTCGGCGCTTCTTTTCTAAATAGTTGATCATAGAGAGTGAGCCCTTGGGCATAGTTTGGAGTTGGGTATTTAGGGCCATGCGCTGAGCACGTGTTTGGGCCTGAAAGTTGCGCTCAAGTGTTTGCCAGGCCTGGTGAGAAGTAGTAGCCCTAGCGACGGTAGCAAGGGATTTATCAGTGAGGGTGGACTTCATCCACAGAAGGACGAACCGATCTTTTTTCTTCCAAGTGGTGAATTCTGGATTGGTAACAGGGGCAGCGTTGGAGGGTCGATCTTCTTCGGTATCAGCAGTGGGTGCGATTGTTGCAGGTGGTGGGGAAGGGTTGAGAATGAACGAGTCCAATTCAAAGCATTCAAGAGTGGAGATGATGTTTGTACGCCAGAGAGAATAATTGTCACGATCAAGCTTGACGCTAACAGGGGGAATTTGAAAATTAAGGGTGGTAGAGGCAAGTTGGGCGGCAGCAAGAAGTTGTGCAGGAGTGGCCATGGTGGAATTGCTCACGTAAAGAAAGGGAAAAAAAAATTGATATGTGACCTTAAATCTCTGATACCATAATAAGGTATGAAGTAGTATGATTGAAGTAATTTCTCTATATTCATTCAGTGTGGTATACATGAGTTTATATACAGAAGTAGAGAGCCCTAACTCCACATAAACAGGAGATTCAAAATACGTGAGAATAATAGCCTAAAGAATAGGACTAAATGACTAAGTTACAAGACCAATTCAAAACTAATATAATTCTTTATGATGCTGAATATTTCTGTTATTAGTGACTATAAAATTCTCAGATAGTCTGTCTCTCATGTCTCACCAGTGTTTCTTAAGGCTCTCGAGAACTTTACACTTCCAAATAGTTATATCACCAATATATTATCTTAAGGCTCTCGAGAACTTTACACTTCCAAATAGTTATATCACCAATATATTATGCTGATCAAGTAACTATAATTTCCCATTTCCATTTTTGGTTTGTTTACGGTATATGAAATACAATGACAAAATATCTATACTATAATTAGGTTTTTGGTGTATAAAAGTTTCCAAGGATTCTAATTGTAAGCAATACCTTAAGGTAAGCTGTAAGCAGCACCAAGTGGATGTATTGGTCACTAAAGCATTGCTGTTTAAGGCATTGTCTAGGAGCTTAGTAAAAAATTGTTCCACTTCCACATAATGGGAGACACTTTGAAGCCACTTATTACATTATCTGAGTCTGTGATAAGATTCACACAATTAGCCCCCTTGGATAGTAAGTATACAAGAGAAGGAATCACATATGAGTGGGACACGTGGCTGAGAATGACATTTGTGGAGGAAGGTCAATGATGCATGAGAGGAAAGGGAATAAGAGAATAATACTATATAGTTACAGATTGGGTGTGATGTCATGTCATTCATCTTTTTGAGAATTAGAAATCGGCTTGTAAGCTTGGGCAGGAAGATGATCATTTGATTGTGCTCTGATTTTGTTTCGGTCTTTATTTGAAATTGAATGAAAGCTTTTCCTCTCTGAATCATTGAAATCAATTTTGTCATTATTGTTTCCTACTCAGACAGACTGATATCATACCAATCTGTGAATGTGCTTCTGATTAGTTATTATAGAGAAAAACTAGCATAGTTTGTTCAAGTATGATACAGAGGTATAGCTTACTCTATCTTGGGTGAGATAAATTAGACTATTTGATTCATTTCAAGTTCAACTTAATTTGGATTATATGGTCTAAATGTCAGGCAGTGAGTCACCAGGTGTTGGCAGATTTCTCGAATCAGTAAGAATGCCAAAGCCGATACATTTCAGATTGGTTAGAGTCTATAATAGCCTTTAGGTTTTTTATTGAATTGGGTGTGAGGAAAAGGCAATGACTAATTTGAGAAAACTACAGAAAATAGACTAAAAGCTAATTGGATAGAAAAGACAGAGAGTGGGGAGGGGGATGCATACACATTTTTTTGAAAATTCTTCTCCGTATTTGGTAATCAATATGCTTTTGGAATTTGTTTTATGGTAATCTAGTAACCGATCCTTTTTTTTTTTGGAAAACCATATCTGACATATCACATATGGTGTTGCTATGGTTGACTTCAAGATCTGTTTCTCCAGTGCTGTATATAATGTATGTGTGTGCATGCCTCTAGATTTACATTTCACTGAAGAATACATGTATGTACTGAAATTGTGTGTTTTGCATTGTGGTGCTGGTGCCATAGTTGTGCCCAGCAAGTGGGCTGGGTTGTGTACATAAGGATGGGTATAAGCAAAACTAAAGAAGTGACATAGTTTGTCCTTGTAAGAAATGCAGGGAGGCTTATAATAAAATCTGTTGATGTTCATTTTGTGGTATCTGTTTCAGGGAGGCCGAAAAGGGAAGAAGAGAGCATCTTTGGCGAGATGGATTTCATGAGTACCATAATTACTCAAGATGATGGATATAGCATATCTAAAGGAAAAGGAGCTGAAACAAAAACTAGTAGTAGTATTAGTAGAAAGAAAATGAGCCATAATAATAATAATAATAATAAAGATAAGATGAAAACATCATCATCATCATCATCATCATGTAATGTGCAAAAGAAAAAGGTTACTACATCAAATGATGAAGAGAGTGAAAATGGTAACAAGGCAAAGATTGGTTCCTCTGAGCCAAGTTGTAGTGTCGGGGGGCTTAAATCATCTCTGAAATCCTCAAGTAGGACAAATCGGTCTGTGAGTTGGGCTGATGATCAAACACTGTGTGAATACAGTGGAAATGATCCTGATCCTGAGCATGAGCATACATTCCGAGTTGCATCAGCAGAAGCCTGTGCTGCAGCACTGAGCCAAGCTGCAGAAGCCGTTGCTTCCGGGGAATCTGATGCTCCTGATGCTGGTAAGTAATTTTTTTTGGTCTAATAACAAAACAAACATCCTAAAATTTTGGTTTTTATAAATACCATTACTACTTGATACCAGTTTCTGAAGCTGGAATTGTAATCCTGCCACCTCCTGGTGATGGTGCAGAAGCAGAAGCAGAAGCAGAACCAGCCCGATTGAAATGGCCCAAAAAAACCGGTATCACAGAGTCCGACTTCTTCGATTCCTTTGAGGATTCTTGGTTTGATGCTCCACCAGAGGAATTTGTCCTAGATGTAACTACAATTTCAACATTCTTCTATACTTTACTTTAAGTGCAAGAAATAGACCAACCTTCTTCTTCCATTTCTTTCTTTCTTTATTACAGCATCCTACTGCATAGGGTTGCAAACGAGCTGAGCCTAGCCAGGCTCGTTTAAGTTATATAAGGCTCGAGCTCGGATTGATTCGAGCTTTATTGTACAGAGCTCGTAAAGAATTATAGAAGCTCGGCTCGTTTTTTGTCTAAATAAGCTTAAGCTCGTTAAGAAGCTCATTTATTAATACCTTAAATCCCTAATTCCCCCAATATGTTTTTATATTATTATATATAGGCTCGTTTAGGAGGTTACTTAATGACATAGGTTCGTTTAAAATCGGTCTCGAGTTGAGCCATCCAAATACAATGAATTACAAAGCACTGTTATAGTTGGGTAGATTTTTCAATGTATAATGTGTCCCTAGTGAGAAAAAAATTGAAATTTGAAAGTAGAATGCTATGATTTAATAACCCTTAGCCTTACCCTTATTTATTCTGATGCAAAAAATTGCACTGAGTTTCAGCTATCACCATTTGCAAGAATGTTCATGTCTTTGTTTGCATGGGTTTCCTCATCTACTTTGGCGTATGTATATGGATATGGAGGTGATGATAGTTGTTATGCATGGGTTAATGGGCGGGAGTATCCGCGGATAGTTGTATTGGCAGACGGCCGGTCTGCTGAAATCAAGACAACTCTCGCAGGCTGTCTTTCTCGAGCTTTGCCTGGACTTGTTCGTCATCTCAGACTTCCCACTCCTGTTTCTACTATTGAATCCATGATGGTAAATATAATTACTACCTACTTTCATTTATCATTCTTTCAATCATGTTTATTGCTTTCCATCTTTTTCCAGAAAGGCATTTTTTGCTACAATTGGATATGGATAATTTTTTTCTTGAAAAATAATTCTAAATGCATTTAAAACTGATTGTTTATAATGATTCGTTGGCAGGGTTGTTTACTGGACACCATGTCTTTTATTGATGCACTTCCACCTCTCAGAATGAAACAATGGCAGGTGTTTGTTCTTTTGTTTGTTGATGCTCTTTCTGTCTCCCGGATTCCTGCCATGACCCCACACTTGACAAATAAAAGAAGGTTCTTTCAAAAGGTGAACTTCAACATAATGACATTCAAAATATTATTATGTATGTGTACACAAGAACTTTACACCTTGCATTTTAGAGCAACATACAGAAAAACAACCACATCACTTTATATGTTAACCTTTTTTTTTTATTTCACTTTCACTATTATTATAACTTATAAGTATGATAAAAAAATAATTGAGTGGATAAGATTGTGAGTGTGTTTGTTATTCTGTATTTTCCCTTTTCAAAACAAGTATGGTTTTTGATCACAATAATAAAATTTAGAAACTTTAACTAGTTTGTGCTCTTGTGTCCTTCCCTACATATGGGATATTTTTGAATTTGTTATGGATATCTACCATTCATTCACAGTCCCTGTCACTGTGATATGGAGCAGAGCCGGATAAATTAGGGGGTATGATTTCTAGTTTAAGTAACACAATCTCTAACTGTAAGAGGGAAAGAAATGAACTTCCCCGAGTTATAGAAGATGTGCATGTAAAAACAAGGATTTGCGTTTTATTTCTTATATTATATTTTTCCTTTAAAACTTTACCCATACCAAAAACCACAGGGGTATAATAGCAATCATAATAATAATAATTTTAATGTCCTTACAAGATAAATAAAAATAAAAATAAAAATTGGAAGAAAAAAACTTGAAAGTAGGGTGTTTTATATATTATTATAACGAAGTGATAGTGGTTACCAACTTTAAAAATTCAAGACTCTTGTATCTTTCTGATTTTTATTTGGAAACTGATGATGCAAATAAATCCCTAATAATTTTGTTATGTGGTTGTGGTTGAGCAGGTGTTTGATGATGCTCAGATAAGTAGCGAGGAATATGAGTTGTTAAAGGATTTGATCATTCCGCTAGGACGAGCCCCTCAATTGGCTACACAAAGTGGAGGCTGATTCTTCCTTTCCTTTCTGTTGATGATATGTTTCTCATCCAAATTTTCTTTCTCTTCAAGCATGTGTTTGTTTGATGATATGCTCAAATCACTAATATGCGTTATTTAATTTACATGTTTTTACCTATGTAGTCATCAAAAATCGTATTAATTGAAAGCTTAAATTGAATGAACAAGCAAAACATATTAGGTCTTTTAATTTGTTGCTTTTGTATTCCAAATTGAAGCTTTCCCTGCTCAATCTTCTTATGCCTTCCTTTCACTTTCACATATCCATCTTTATCTCCATTTATTCTCTTAGGTGTTTTTTTTGTAAGAGGTAAAAGTTTGTTGTTTGCGGATCACATTTACAGTTTTCTGCACAACAAGAGATGAACCAAACATTAGTAGTTTGTAAGATTGTTTGTTTTTAAAGTTTGCGGACTGTTAAAATGAATAGAGTTTTTTTTTTCAAACTTACATTTTATCAATAGTTATATAAAGTTTATAAAAGAAAAATTAAATTTAAATTCAAAACGCATAGATCGAATCTATCATATTGATTCAAACCGTTTTTAAAATAAAAAATAAAAATGTTATATATGTGAAAGCTCATGAAACCTTGAAAATCATTCTAAAAAATAGATAATTCTAAAAAATTGTATACATCAAACCATTTATGGCATATTCAAAACAGATGAAAGTAAACACAAAAATAGAATGCATCATTAAAATCTTTGAATAGATGAGAATATAGTCACTTGAACAAAATTATTTTTTATTTTTTTGTTAATCTATTGTATAGTCAAAAGGGTTTGTCGATTACAAAAATGTGTATTGAGTTGGTTGAACAAGATTATATCGTCGTTTGATTAAGATAGATTACATGAATGATTCTTGTAGTTTGGTGTAATTTGTGCTCTTAGAACCCTATTTATTTATTTATATTTTATTATTATTATTATTATTATTATTATTATTTTAAACTTAGATTGTCCCATTGGTTTAGTTTTGTTACGTTGTTGGTTCCTGACCGACTTAAAAAGATTATTGTACCTTGTTTATTATCTATTTAAACTTTTATATTCACATATATTGAGATGAGTCCTTGATAGTTCACAAAAGTGACCTTAAGCTTATCCGAGGATGGTAGTGATCCGAGATAAGATGTTATTCCGATGATGTATGAGTTTCGAGAGTTGAACTGATCCGATGGTTGACGTATTCAATACTAAGAAGATTATTTGTCTTTTGTATGCATTAGAATATGGAACAAGATCAAGTCCAAGATTTGTTTCCCGATTTCAGATTTATGACGACTGAAATCAGACTACCAATTGAACACATCAATTTAGTCCAGACTTGACCAAACGCTTAAGATGTCATCATCAAATCATCGAGGGGCACACATATATCGTTTTTCCCGTTAGTGCAAAAGCAACGGATAAACTTTGACTTATATGCTTGTACTATTCACTCATCAAATCACGCACAACAATACGTATTATAACATCAAGTTACTGATGCGTTTACGTATTATCAATGCACAACTGACTTGCAAACAACAACTCATATATCTCCGTTTCAAGAACATAAGATACTATCGTTTCAAAATTACTCGTGATAAAATCCATGAAGTAATTCTTTGAGCGTGGGTTAATCCAATACTTAAAATCCTCATTTCCAAGTACTCATGAACATTGCAGCAAAACCATTGCTATGTCTAATCTCCATAGACAATCTACAATTCAATTCATGAGTCTTAATTTGCTACTTACTTCCAAAAGTACGAGCGACTGTAGATGTTTGAATAATTCAATTATTGCAGAAGTAAAACATGCAAAGTGAAACACAATAATAACCTAATTAACTATGGTCTCAAACTATTGAATATAAATAAAACACTTATTGTTTAATCACCATATTAATTAGACTTTATTAATTGTATAATGTTTCGATTAATCAACTAAATACTTGAATTAAACATTAGTCATGCCATGTTCTAAACATGCATACTATGTTTCTCTATGGTCCTTCCTTTGTGAGAAGATCGATTGGACACTATCCCAATGATGTTCATTTCACAATTTCAAATTTTTGTTACTACCAAATGTGTTAGAGTTCAACCTTACATGCAATGATCCTTTTGTGATGTCGAGGCTTCAAAGTCACAGAGACTTAACCAACGATATTACAACATATTCCATTGGAGATTTGTTACTAAAAACAATTCCATGGAAATGAAGTTTCAAATCCAAGATACATTTCTTGAACACCTTCCATGCATTAAAGTTCTAACTCACATGTAGATTTCAATAACCAACTCCCACTTATGGAAACATTTCCATATACCACCAATTCTGAACAAGAATCACCTGTACTCAGAATTATGTCAATATGGTCCATCCAAATGCTACTATACTTCCAACTGTCCACAAGTAACCAATCTTTTGGTAAGCTCAGACTGTTTTTGACAGTTGTTTAACAACTTTAGTCACATCCTATTCTAGTCCTTTTCCCTCTTAATGCCCTAGGCATTTGGACAATCAGAACAAATGAACATTATAGCATATGTAATCGATCCTTTATCTGAAGCATACAAGACTCGATACATAATGTCTCACATAAAGACATGACAACCTCTTGCTATAATATTTCCATATATCGAATTTCCTATGTTGAATCATTTCAAAACGATATTCATATATATCAAATACTAAGTTTTATTAAACTTTCAATCTAAACTTTTAGATTTGAAATGAAGTATGAGTGCCTTCTCCCCAAAGCTTCTCATAGCGAAACAATTCCCAAACTTTGCAACTTGCAAATTTGTAAACTTTGTTTCGTATAATTAGTATTGTCAATTTGCAACACTTAGCATAAAATTATGCTCCCACTAGCATAACAATTATGCTCCCACTAGCTTTGAAATGTACCCAGAAATCAATTGGACTTCTAGAAATCAATGCTCTTTGACTTTCTTACTAAAGTGCAGATTTCCGATACGTAATGCTTCGATAAGTCTTCAACTAGACTTTTCAAGCTTATACACCTTCATTAGATAGCATGTGTGTTTAAACCCTTTCAGAACTTATAGCTATAAGTCCTGAACGTTTAAACTATTTCTTGCCATTTCTCACAATTCGAACTATGAAAAGGGATGCCGTAATCATATGCGAATTTGAGAACGCAATTATCACAACTGCTAACCATAATGATATTAATCAGATTTAAAATCTACTAGCGAAGTGTTTCCTCATAATCATTTTCATGAATTAGAGCAAAACCTTTTGCCACTTAGATTTTATGGTGTATGTGTTCCTATCCATGTGAATTTATCAATTCCAACCTACACTCATAAGATAAGGTTGAGGACAAAACCAAAATCAAATTTAGTTTTTACTTTCATGGACTGAATTTTGCTTATTCTTATTTTCTTGCCTTCTGGCAGCACAAGGGCCTACCATCGCTTTCATGTTGTTAAGCAGCTCACACATATTGATCAATGTACTATCACTGACCAATTTGCTCTGCTTTTTGTAGTCAAATGAGAACCATAGAACTCATAAGTATTGCCAACTCAACAAGAAAATGCACAGGAACAAGAATGTGTCAATTGAACACGATAAGTTATCAACCTCAAGTCGTGTGCTAGTGATAACTAAAAGGTTTATTCTTGATTGACTCTTGAAACTTTTCAAGATCAATAAGACTCCCACTGACTTCTTTACATATAAGTTTTTCTGTTAAGGAACATTACTTGACAAGCAAAAACAAATATTCAAAAGTTAGTGTGGATTCTCGACAAGAAAACATCTCATGGAATTGGTCTTAGTCCATCTTTTGTTTTACCCAAAACATTACAATACCAATTCCAAATGTGTCAGAGTAAGAAAACATTATTACTCTACATTTCATGAGGTGTTATAAACCTACTTAGTATGAAACAAGCTTCAAGATACGATTTATAGTTACTAGAGTATGACTCTAAAACTTTAATTGGATATGAAGTATGACTCATCTCATGATTGAACCATTTCAATAATATCCGATTCCTCTTCTTAGTCGAACAATTACACTAAGATGTTCTTCGAGGATCAATTGTGACATGGTTCCCTAATCATTAAGATGATCATAAAACATGATACTAAAGTAATCTCCTCTCCTTTTAGATTGGAGAAACTTTTATCTTTCTGCCTAACAAATTCTTCATATTCGTTCCACTACTCTTTGAAACCTTTTCAAAGTGTTAGAATTATGCTTAATCTTATAACCACAACCACATTTACTGAACCATCAGTAAATCATGACGAAAAGACTTATCGTCCTTTGTGGTGGATATTAATAGTCCACATCAATGTGTACTCTCCTTTAGTCCTTCACTTGACTCACATAAACATGTGATCAAGGAATTAGTCTTAATCTTACAAAGATATAGATTATCATACATCACACAATTCGAATTGTATGATTCCAAGTTTCTGTCCAATTAAAACTCGGGTGATGAGATTTCCTTTTCACTTGGTTGATTATGACATTTCTATAAACGACATAATTACAGGCTACGATCATACACCCCCGTATAGATCTATACACAAACTCTCGCTCTCCCTCCAAGAGACTCTGGTTATAACTACAGGCTACGATCATACACTCAGTGGTGTCAACCGACATGTCTCACTAGATCCCAATTATTAATGTATAATCATTAGAATTTCCCGATATAAGATGTATATGAATTTAGATTCTTGCACATACCAATTAAGAATTGATATGAATAGACAAAGCCCGACCAACATGGAAGAGGGACAATTGTGGTCTATTAGGCATGAAAGTTATTTCCAGGCTTGATAAGTATGCGAAAGGGACACTTTAAGGCCCATTAAGCATATAATGAACAATCCAGACCCAATCAGCATGTAAATGAGCCACCAAGGCCCAATAAACATGTAAAAGATGATTTCGGCCCATTAAGCATGTAATTGGGTCACTAAGGCCTAATGGACATGTAAAGAATGAATTGGGCCCAATAAACATGCAATTTGGACCACGAAGGCCCAATAAGCATGTATAGTGGTTATTAGGCCCCATAGTCAAAACTTTACAATTTGGACTTATTTTTGTAAAACTTACACTTTAGGTCCCTTAAAACCTAAATATATTTCTAATGACTTATTTCCTATAAAAT